TTTCTGTTTTATGTCTTATTTTCCACACTGACAAGGACAGTAATGTTCATAGCTCATTGTATGACAGAGCACCTAAAAACATCCAAAAGAAAGCATTATAAAATACTCTCTGTCTTTAAAGAAGTAACTTGTGACAAGTAAACAAGTAATTGTGCCACTGGATTACTGTGGGCTGGCAAATAAACACACTAACTGAAGTAAAATTGTTGAGAAAACACTAAGAATTGGTTCAATTTCTCATCTTTCATTTCTCCTTAGTTGTATAATTACCTTCTTTTGCCAGCAGTATCAAGGCATAAATAATACCTTCTTTTCATAGAACAGACAGAATCTTTAAGGTCATCATCTAGTTCCAACCCTCTGCTATAGACAGAGACACCTCCCTCTAGATCAGGTTGCTCACAGCTCCATCCAGCCTGGCCTTGAATGCTTCCAGGAAAGGGACATTCACAGCCTCACTGGGCAACCTGTTCCAGTGCCTCACCGTCCTCACAGTAAAGAATTTCTTCCTAATATCTAGCCTAAATCTACGTTCTTCCAGTTTAGAGCCATTTCCCCTCATCCTGTTGCTACATGTCCTTTTAAAAAAATCCCTCCCCAGCTTTCCTGCAGGCCCTCTTCAGGTACTGGAAGGCCACTGTAAGATCTCCTTGGAGCATCTCTTCTCAAGGCTGAAGAACCCCAGCTCTCTTACCCTGTCCCTTTAGGGGAGGTGCTTTAGACTTCTGATCATCATCTTTGTGGCCCTCTTCTGGACCTGCTCCAACAGCTCAGTGTCCTTATTGTACTGGGGGCACCAGAACTGGACGCGGTACTCCATGTGGACTATTTTAACTAATTCAATATAATTTTCCCTTCCCTAATCACATGTTTTTCCCCATTCTACTTCATAGTGACTTACAATTTGAACATATAATGCTAATTATTCAGGTAGGATTACTCACTGAAGAAGCACAGAATAAGACCAATGTCTAATGTTATAGAGACTGGAATAAATCTTCCATGAACTAGGAACTTAGGAATACGTATCTAGGCAGACTGTCTTTCTGCATGCATGAAGTCTGTATGATTTACATTCATCGCCTCACACCATTTACCACCTAGGCTGTACATGATGCTACAACTTCTCTCAGTGTGTCTTATTGCATTCAGGACTGCTTAAATCTTGGTGATACCTGTAGATCCCCCTAAAATCTTCATAAAATGGCTGGATCGTTTACATACAGTCAACATGCTTCAGGAATGTCACTGTAGTATTAGAGCCTTGTCTATAGCTTAGGATTTAATCATGATTCTTTGTCACTTCAATATAAAATAGATTTCTCTCTTGTCTTATTAATCTTTGAAACAATTTGATCAGTGCATCCTGAAGGCAACATATACAAACTTGAGTGGAGTTTCTATGAAGTACTCTGTTTCCATTTCCAGCAAAAAGCTTTCACGTACCCTAGAACTCAGCTCAAGAATTGCCAGACTGAATGGATCCAGTGCTCGCAAAGGTCAACATTATTTACAATATTAACACTTTGCATATATTTCAAAACTTTCCAGTGTATACATCTGCCCTGGTTTCAGCAGGGATAATTTTCTTTCTAACAGTACAGTGCTGTGGTTTGGATCTAAGATGAGAATAATGTCTTAGTTGTAGCTGAGCATTTCTTGCACTGAATCAAAGACATTTCAACTTCTCATGCTTCTGGTTGCTATATGCCATATTAGTGGTGTTACAATAAAAATCACCCAAACTAATGAAGAATGAATTCTGATGATTCTGAAGTTCTGATTCTTTAGTTGATGATGAGTAGTTCTTATAATAAGTCAAGCACTCTTCAACTGCTTGTGGTGTCCTGAGAGCAAGTAGGCAGGTGTCACAAGAAGCTGGGATGGGACAGAATCAGAACAGCTTATCCAAACTGTACAAAGGAGTATTCCATACCGTATGACACTGTGATGAACAATAAAACTGGAGGAGTTGGCTGAGAGTGGCACTGGGCTTAGGGACTGCTTGGGTGTTGGTTGGCAAATGGTGAGCAATCACTTTGTGCATCACTTGTTTTGTATATTCTTTTATTGTTTTTATTTTATCTTCCTTTTCTGTCATGTTAAACTGTATGTATCTCAACCCATGAGTTTCAGCTTTTATTCTGATTGTCTCTCCCATCTCACTTAGAGGGGAATGAGGGAACAACTGTGTGGTGGTTATCTGTCTGCTAGGTTAAACCACAATACCAATAGATTTTCATAGTAACAAGTAACATTTTTAGTCATTTCTTTACTGTGTTCAATATTTAATTAAGTAAGAGCTGAGATGCTGGATCTTCAAGCTAAGGAATCGGTCTCATCTGAATAAGGCCTTGTAACACCCAGTACAACTCCTGCTGTCTGGTGTGAGGAATGAAGTAAGGGACTGTGGATGTTCACAAAAGGGTGAATATACTTCTAGTGAGGTCAGTGCAAAAAAAAAAAAAAAAAAAAATCTGAATTCCATCATCAAGGAGATCAGGTTACCTAGCCACATCAATAGCATTTTCAGCAGCTGAGAACTTCACAATCCTCCTGAAAACTAAAGGTATGAAGAAATAGAAAGGTTTTGTTCGTGTAGCCACTTGCCTTCAAAATGACACGAATGCAATTCACATTACATATATGTAATACACTTTGTTTGCTGAAGACTGTGTTTCCTTCTATTGCATTAATTTGTAATGTAAAATCATCCTGTTTCCTTCTGGAATGCTGGTGAATCTGGAAGGCTCACGTATCTTGTAAATAAGCTTTTAAAGACAGCAATAAACAAAATAAATAAACAGCTTTTGAAGCCATAGGGAGGAACACAAGTTTTTCTGTAACATTTCCAAAGGAGTTTCTCAGTTTATAAGTTTAACTATATTTCCATTACAGCCTTCCATGTTTGTATTCCAGTCTGAGTTAAAAGAAGTGTCTCACAGATCACATTATTTTTTGCTAAATTTTATCATTGCATATCCCTTAATCTCTTCATCAGAGTTGTTGTCTTCAGGTTTAATGTTACATGTTTGATCAATTACGTTGCTTGAATAAAGTCTTCTACATCACATAAGCTGGAGTTTTTCACTAACTTTTATAATCTTTTCATCTTTTGATTTTTTTTTAATAGTTTCTTTTACCATGCTTTACTTTAGTAGCAGAATGCATATTTGTTCACAGTAAATGAAAATGCACCTTCATCCTTCAACATTTTTACACCTCATTTCATTTTACTTATGGATAGTCTTAAAAGTTTAAAGTCAATATTCACCTGTTAACTATTGGAATAATGTACTAGTCTACTATGTGATGTTTACCAGTGAATTCGTAACTTTTAACATTTATTTCAATTACTTTTAAACCCTTTCTCTAGCTTAAAGAAAAGAGTGAACATATCTAGTGTAGTTTTAAACATATAAAAAAACCAGACATATGATTCTGCAGCTGACTGCAACTCATTAGTAAGAGCAATGTGTAATATTTTGGCATGAAAAAAAAACTGATTGGCTTTCAGTTGCTATCAAAATATATCTATATGTCCATGTCATTAAACAAACCTTGTACATATGACAATACATAGCAATCCGGTATTTAAGTATGAGCTGATGAAAAAAAAAAAAGTGATAAGATCAAATAACAGACATTTGAGACAGACATATTTTAAACAATCATGACAATCATCACATTTTTGTATTTGCTGTCAGAGCAATTCAATACATAAGAATTTCCCTTTGAAAGCATCTACTGTTCTTGAGATTGCTTTTGTTTATACCTGTCACATAAAATAGTTTCAAAAACCAAAACTCATTAGCTTAATGAGTTGAATGGTTGAATACTTCAGCATGATAACTTCTTTACTGATTTTCAGCATATATCTTTCAGAAAAGAAACTTGCCACTCAGCAAGTCAGCCATCTACCGATAAAGTTCAACAGACCTTTATAGAAGTGGAGAGAAACACCACAATTATAAAAAGGATTATGAGAGACATTTCTAGAATTTCACAACAAGCTATTTCTAAACAATCACTATTACCAGCTGAATTCAGTGCATGAGGCTGATTCAGTCAAATACCTAAATTAAAATCTGTTTACTTCTGTATCAGTATAATACCAATTACAGCCCTGGTTCACATAAACTGTACTTGAGACACAAGAATGCTCTACATTTAAATTCACTGAAAAGTTGGATGAATCGGGGATTTGGTCACTAAGATTGTTTATTTTCTCAATATCTTGCTTCTCTATTCTTCAGAAGGTAAGAACTGACGTATTGCTAAAGTAACTCTAGAAGTTGTTTATTGGGAAACCATTTTTTTTTTTAAACAAAGACTGTCTGCTACTGTGATTCTTTTTTAACAACCGTATTTCTAGATTCTGCACCCTTAAAAAGGGGTGCAGTTTATCACACTGAAATAATTATAGATACTGTTTCTGTTTTTCTTTTTTTTTTTTTTTTTTTTTTTTTTAATTTAATACACATATTTCAGAACACTAGAGCAAATTTTCCTTTTAAAATTCTCTATGGCATTTAAGAGTTGTGTTCTCATTTTGCAAATAGATTAAACAGCAAATAAAATGTTAAAAAAGAAAAAGAAAAAAGAAGAAAGAAAAAAGAAAAAAGAAGAAAGAAAAAAGAAAAAAGGAAAAAAGAAAAAAATTGTTTAAAATGTCAATTTATGTGTAAGACTGAGACATACTCCACAGAAAATGTGAAAAATCTTGTTTAAAAGTTATAGTAAACAATCATATGTTCTTCAGTGCACATGATTAGTATGAACATTATAATTTAAAACTGAGTATTGATGACTGCTGCTCATAATTCTTAAAATCTCTTACAAAATATAAATAGGATAGCCAAGAGAGGATGGCTGATAAACCTTGACGTAAGGTTCTGTGAGGTTCATCCTTCTTCTTTCCTTATTCCTTTACTCTCCACTTAGACTAAAGATCCATTAGCTTCTTCAAAAAAGTGCATACATACACACACACACACAAATTAGTTCCAAAACCATTTTTCTAAATTTCCAATCGACTTGTATTCCTGGTGTCTTTTCACATGATCACAAGCAAGACATGCATGCGATTCCCAGAATTTAGGAAGATGCACTGAGAAATCCTTCTTCCAGTTGAAGTAACTAAGGTACATCTTGTTATTTTTGTCAAGCATCAGAAGATATTCTGCCAGATCTCTTGGGGATAGAAAATCTTCCACATGGATAAAAGAGTCTGCTGGAATGTAATTCTCGTAGTTTTCTCTGGAAGGGCCCAGTACGACTGGCACTGATCCAGCCAGAAGAGCATTGTAAAGTTTCTCAGTAATGTAATCTTTGTGGATTGAATTTTCAAATGAAAGATAGAATTTGCAACTGGAGATAGTTGGAATTAAGTTTTTATCGTTGACGTAGTCTCCAAAGGCTTGGCCGTAGGTATGGATTTCAATGTATTTGCTAAGCTCATTGTAATACTTGACTCGAGCATGCTCAGGGTTCCAATTACTTACAACCCAACAAACCAAGTTTTCTTTACTTGGCACTTCATATGTAAAGGAGCCTGTACCGACCATCATGGAGCCATAAGGCACCTGAATATCTGAATCACGCCGGTAAGTCAGGGTTAGGTTAAAGAGGTGTTCAATGCCACTCTTTTGTGGAGTATGAGTTGGAGATTCCAAGTTCATCCAAATCCATTTCTGGAATGGTGGCCTGGCTTGCTGAGGTAAATTAGTCAGATCCCAGTTAATGTCCCTGTGATGAATAAGAACTGCGTGGGACTTGTTATATAATGAGCGGTCAATAGTCAGATGGCACCCGTGGATGTTGAACATCATTTGGCAAGATGTTAGATCGAATGTCTGGCCAAACGGCCAAAGCCAAACCAAAATAATAGTTTCATTAAAATTATCAGTTTTGGAAGAAAAGAAGCTCTTCATTTTCAAAACTGAGCTGGCTGATTCCACAGGAGTAGAGATCCAGCTGCTTGTTGGTTTAATATAAATTAGTATAAATGCCATGAAACAACCAAGAACAATGAAGACGATCAAAAATGGCCGGAAAATTCCTTTAGATGTTGATGTCATAATTTGTTCTGAGGAAAAAGAGAGGAAGACAAAGAGAGAAAATAACATCAGGTTTTTCAAATACATATATATCTATCTCCTCTTAAAGCAATCAGACATAGAATCATAGAATCATAGAATCGCTCAGATTGGAAAAGACCTTAAAGATCATCGAGTCCAACCACAACCTAGCCAAACTACCATAACAACCCAGACATCAGACATCAAAATGGACAAACATCAATATTTCTGATCTGTAACTTCAGAAACTTTTAAGTAAAAAACGGATGCCCTATCCCTGTAAGTGCTCATACTCATGCTGGATAGTGCTTTGAACAATGTGATCTAGTCTAGTGGAAGGTGTCCCTGTTCATAGCAGAGGGCTTGGAAGATGATTTTTAAAGGTTCCAATTGAAATCATTCTATGATTCTCTGAATTTATTATTCTATAAGTGTATGAGTTCTTGTGCAGCATTCATGGAAAAGTTTTAGATAATGCGATATTCATATTTATCTTCTTCACATGAGAAGCTAACATATAAATTGAAAGTAGAGTTTTAAGGTATGTCATGCTTGATATATATCACACATCTTAAGTGTTTTTACGTAGAACTTAGGCCAAGAGTTTCAGACGCACAAAATTATACTTTGATTCTTTCCTTGTGTATAGGTAAAGGCTAATATGCTGCAGTTTTGGTCTGTATACATTTGTGTGCATATAGAGGATATAGCTTTAGAGGAATGAAATAAGTTGGTACTGGAACTTCATTTCTGGGATTAATAAGACTGTTAAAAAACTAGCTTTTGACTGATGAGTATATGGAGATGAACATTCTTACTTTTTCCTTGTGAGTCCTAAAACAGATAGGGAAGGAAAGCAGTAATACAGGTTCTCAGCTCTCCTGTTCTCGTAATCAGCCTTATAAAGAAAAATGAACAATAAAGTATCCTAATCATTTAACTATGTTTTTATGCCACAGTCCTTTGTTAAACTTTAAGAAAAGTACAGATACGCTGCTTCTTTGTGAGGCGCCTTTTCTTTCTCTATAGGGAAAAAAGAGTAGAGTGAGAAGTTCATACAGATTCCTTTGTCCTTTCTCTGATTGTTTCTTCCTGAGAGAACTGATAAATCTCTTTACAACACTTGTCTTCTGTATGGTTCTTGTGAAACCTGGCAGAGTTAGAGATTGCTTATGGCTAACCTCTACTCCTGAATGTAGCCCTAGAACACAAAAGTGTTCTAAAAATAAAACAGTTATACCCATGTGAAAAGTGCTGTGACTTAAAAAGGAAAAAGGAATAGAAGTTAGTTACCAAGAAGAAGTGTACTGTATTTGTTGGTATACTGTAAAAGACTGAATTGTGCATTTCAATTTGTCTGGCTTTCTTTTCCTGCATATTTCTCAGTGCTTTCAAGTTTTGTTATCTTTCCTAGTTAGCTGCACCAAAAATAAATAATTAAATAAATAAATTATATATATATGCATATATGCATATATATATAATTTATATGCATATATGCATATATATATAAAACTTCCACTCCTAAAATATATATATAAAATATATACTCTAAATAAAAAAAAGATTTAAAAAAAAAATCATTGACAGAAAGCAGAATTTCTCTTAAGTCAGTTCATCTCATTTAACGTGTGAGATAAATAATTACATTCAGCACAAAGACACAATAGAATGTGATTCAGAGGTCCATTAATGCAAGTACATGTACTGCTTTGTGAGTGTAAGAGCTGATGTGTGAGTGTAGCAATACAGTGCAACAAAATGCATTTTCACATTCATTATTGAGGAAAAGGACAGAAAGGGGAGTTCTACACTAGCATTATATCTTGAGGAAAAAATAATGTGCCACGCTTTCTTCCTTATTTTGGAAAGTCAGATAGTCTTATTTCTGGTTGTACATATTGTGGTGGGTTAACCTTGGCTGACTGCCACTTGCTCTTGGCCCCCAGGTGCTCTCTCTCTCTCCTCAGCAGGACAGGGCCAGGAGAGGGGGTGGCAGGAATTAAGATGGAAAGACTCATTGAGGTAAGGGCAGGAAGATCACTTACCAATTACTGTCATGGGCAGACTCACTTAGGGGAAAATGAATGTAATTTATTGCCAATTAAAATAGATGTGGATAATAAGAAACAACAAAAATTCAAACACTTGTACCCCTCAGCCCCTTCTCTTAGGCTCATTTTCACTCTTACATTCCCACTTCTGCCTTCCCTCTAAGCAGTGCAGGAGAGCTGGGTAACAGAGGGTTGTGTTCAGTTCATAACAGCTCTTGTGTCACTCCTTCCTCCTCACACTTTCTGCTTATTCCAGCATATGCCATCTCCACTGCTGGGCCCAGCCATGCCCTGCAGTGGGGCTGTGGGAGCTGACTGGAACCAGCTGTATGTGGCATGCAGCAGCCTTGACTTTTCTGCACAGTGGAACTGGGCAGCCACTTGCCATCAACTGGACATACGCACCCAGTACAGTCATTTAAAATATTGGAGTTGAGTATGCCTGTCATCTCAATCCCCTTCTTATGGATAGAGTTTAGCAAGACCTCTATGCTTTTAGCAGAGCCATATTGAAAGGAGAAGAGGGGAAGTACTGTTGTGTCCTCGACTTTTCCATTTAGTCTCATCAGTTCAAGTCCAGTTTGTGGTTCTGCAGATACATCACATAGGCTTTTCTTCAGCTTATGCTGATTTTTGCTGGAAATACATCTACAGAGAAGTTTTTGACCTGACCCATGAGAACAGAAGATTGTTTTCCTGCTTTTCTATGAACAAAATTGGAGCATGTTCTCTAAGGAGTAAGGGATTAGGGTCAAACAGCTCAAAGAGATGAAACTTGAGATAAAAACAAGGGGCTGAACCAATCTTCATAAGGCCATTCTTTCTTTCTCTTCTATTGAAGAGAAATGCGGAATAGGTTTATCTTTTCACTTAAGAGTTGACTTAAGTTCTGTGAGTTGAGTTCAAGAATAGGTTGAGGAAGGTGTCTATTCACAGAAACTGATGATTTTCTGAATACTAAAATTGCTGGGAAATCAGAAAAGTACCTTAATCTTCTGTCTTGTTCTGTAGTCACCCCCCCAATTAAAAGCTCTTTGATGCTCTCTGGCAGGGGTTATTTTAAACTAAACTCATCTCCTAAGTAATGAAAAACCCTGCATAAACACATGACAGTTCCTGCTTTGTAGGAAATAGTCAAATATTATTTATTCTGTTCTCTGCATGAAATTAGGTGTACACTGTGTGGTATTTGTGTCTTTGAATTGTAGTGACAATGTGAGGATAAACTACTTCTGTATCCACAAGGCTGATATTAGCATCTCGCAACATTAAACAAGTTTACTTATTCTGTCTTCTCTAAATGTTTCCTCACGTTGCATTGGTGCCCCCTGTACTCAACTGTCCCGTACTGATCTGAGTTCATGGTTCTTAGTTTTTACCTTTCACCAAAAGAGTAGCTCATGGCCAGGATACTACTGTTAATTTTTCATCTTTTGGGTTCAGAAAACTATTATTATGCAGACTCACACATCCATTAGGAGATACATAGGTGTTGTTGGCATGCTTCACTTTGAAGCTACTTCTAATGGGATGCTGGAAAAGTTTTGCAAAAGTAAGACACATTACAACCTGGAATGAGAAGCTGGCAAGGAAGCAGAAGAGAGAATACTTCTAGCAGTATTATTTGCCTATGCCTAAAAGAGCTGACAAGATTTTGTTGTGACTGCAGCAATGACTTTTGAAATGTAAACATGGAGTAGCAGTCACTTTTCAGAGTGAAGTACTGACCTTTGTCCTCTGTAAAGCAGATGAGGAAAAAACAGACTGCCTTCATGGCTTTTGAGACTCTTTGTCCTAAATAGCAGCACAGTGAAGGCATGTGGAAAACACTTGTTAAAAAATTGCATTTTCTTGAGAAGTAGTTTGTCTGTAATGCTAGGATATATAGGCTGATTCTGTTTAATTTGCCCACTAAAATTTGTGGAAGATATTTTTTTTCACAATGTTCTTCAAAATGCGTCTTTCAATTTAACATTTTCTTCTTCCCTTTTGTGCTCAAGGTAGCTGCTGATCTCTTGCTGTGCTTCTTTCTCTATAAAGGTGACAGACAATATGTGGAGACATTCATTGCAATACATCCAGCCAAGTAACCTTAGCTCACCCTTCCTCTTTTATGGCTTTCTTCACACCACAGAAGCACACACTTCCTTTTTCCAGATCCCCTCCCCCATCAATTTCTGTCATGGCAGCCTCTGAAAAGAAAACTTGTCAAAGAAATGTGTTTACTGAGACTATTGCCAAATGAAAGAATGCAGTATCTTTGATAGTTTCATTATAAACTACATTTCCAAGTGTTGTGGTATAGCCAGAATTTTCTAGGTGCCTTTTTCCTATTTGAAAGCATAGTAGTGAAGACTATTTTCCTCAGCAGAAAATTTAGCAAGGCTTCCTTTTAAGTGCAGACTTTGGCATTCCATCACCAAGCAACTCCATGTAGTAGCAACAAAACCACAGGGATAATGGGCAGGGTACTAGGAGCATTAACCCTGAGTACACCAGGCAAGGCTTACAAAATATTGTATGAATGCATAATGTTTACAAAGAAATAAAATGCAATTTTATAAAACCTATTTCATGGGTCCTTTACAATGATGACTTCTTAATTATTCCAGGAAAGGATAGACATAATGTTTTATTTCCGATTATGCTAACTAAAGCAGAGAGAAGAAAGGTAGCATTTCTGGTCAGTTATGCCAGTGCCGGTTTTCCTGGCATACCTTTACATCACCCTCACTGGTATACCCTCAAAGTTTTGCCAGTAGCCCAAAATATGTGACTACTTGCAGAGGTATAACTGTCATTACTAGTCTAATGCTGAGATATTCCAAAGGATTAGTGGCACAGTCCTATGATTTTTCAATCCAAAACAGCTGACCACTGTGTCCATGAAAAAAACACTGACTGTCAGCACAGGCAGCCACTGCAAATCTCCTAGATGAGCTAAAA